CACCGTAGTTTAGAAAGTCCTATTTCGCATAATATTATTCAGTATTTCAATTTTTATTTAAATATCGATTCAATCACTTTTCAAACTTAACGAGATGTGTTTTCAGAGCGCAACTCTTCGACAAGTTTGCGAATCGCGTAGTTTGGTCGAAGATTTGCCTCCTCTAGTGGCTGTCGTGTGATTGGGCTCGTTTCATTTTGTCTTATCCACTGGATAATGGTTTGTCTTTCGTACATATGTCCATCTTCTGCAAGCACCGGATCTTGAAAAATATCTGACGTAATCGGACATTGTAGTGCATCAGGCATCGGAGTTGTTGTGAAAGTACCTGGGTTCTCTACATTAAAAATGTTATATTATACAACACTAGAGAATACTATCGAAGGAAAGCATTTCGAAGTATATTAATTTCAATAGACTAATGGTGTGCTTTGATTGTTGACAAGATACGTATTGAAAAAGAGTATATAGCGTAGAACTTACCTGCTTGACAAGAAGATAGATCAGGCGATATAGGAGGAGGTCGTGATATACGAGAAGGCAAAGGAGGAGGAGGAGATGGTGGCTGGCGACGTTGAGTATTCGTATGCCTATGAGACATCCGTCTATTTGTTGAATTATGAGGACATGCAAGCTAAGATTTAGCATCTTGATTAACAAATACTGTCAATAAAAGTACTTTTACTTGGTGTTGATGAAGTAAATCTTGTCTCCAGTTAGTGCGACAGAATTCACAAGGAAAAAGCTTTGGTGTTCTCTAATTTGAACAAGACTAGCATGCTGTCAACATATATTGAGGAGTCTAATACATACCGTTTGACGTTCATTAAGCATGGCCGGATCTGCTATCTCTGCGTCATCTAATAATTCCAATACAAGGTTTCCCACTTTGTTAACCAATTACTTGAATATGATGGCTAAACTGATATCTATCTCTAATTAATAGCCATTGTGATAAAGAGATGTTCATCGAAAATGAGCAATGAACATTAAAATTCAGACAATCGAAAGAAAAATTTGCACGTGACAGTTACAACAATATAACAACACTTTATAAAATGACAGACGTCTTACAGAGAACAGATTAGCAAAACGAAAGAGCAAGAAAGAAAAGAACACAATACGAAAGTCGTGCAATTACATATTGGAAAAAAGTATTTTTGTGAATCAGCTCAGATTTTTTTTTGTGCACGAAACGTTGTCGTCAGCATTAACATGACGCAATGTATATATGCATTACGATTGAATAAGATGTCTGCAGCATGGTTTTCTTAATATAAAAAATATCAAAGAACCGAATGAGTGAAAAAAAAACGGTCAGTCGTATTCTTTTTTTTTTGTTCGTTTTTCGTTGCTGATTTATATACTTCCTCAATGGGAAAATTGACATCAGGTGATAAAAGAATTTTTCTTCGTTAGGAACAGGGGTGGAGAATCTGCCCGTAGGTTGTAACGACGTTTCCGAAAAAAAATGATCTTTTGGGAAAAATTGACCTTTGAGGAAAAACTATATAGATCATGAAAAGTTTCCATCAGGTAAAAATATGAATAGATTTGTGAAGCGAGAAAGCCAGTCTCCCTTTATCTAAATGACACACAATTCCTTCTAGAAGACATTGTAAACGGTTAGATCGATCTAATTGATCGAATATAAACTTATTTTATTTTCCAAACGTCACTGTATATATAGTGATGATGATTCTCAAAAATTCAAACGAAGCCATATGTAACATAGCGGCTTCTATTTTAAAACTTCATTTAAGTGGCAATCGCGCATAATATCACGAGGTACTGGACGACGAACTACAAATTCATATCAACGCACCAACCATTCACAAAGCTCATCACTTTTATCGAACAGATACTCGGCGCTTACTTTAGTCGGTTGAAGTCGAAAAAAAAAATGTTCCCTATTTCTAAAACAATCTGAACAGTATCAACTTTGGAAATTGATAAAGTTGATTCCTGGTTATCGGTCGCTTAAGACAAGAAGAAGTAGCAAAATTCTCATCGCCATGAGACTTCCAATAAGGTCAATCACGACAAGCACAAATATCGATAGAGCTGTGACTTTTTAAAGCTTCTTTTAAGTAAGACGATAGCTCGATGATGAGCAACTTGATCCAACTCTCTCTCGATATAGTGCCAATAAATAGATGACCAGGTTTCTCATATTTTTAAAGCTCCGAGACATTTGACATCATTTTCGCTTAGTTCCAGGGAAGATCCGGTAGATTCTGCACCCATGGTTAGGAAACTGTGATAATGTTGCAATATATTTTTCAGGAAAAATTGGTCTGCGGCAGTTACAAATTCATTCATAAACAGTATATTCTCGGAAGATGGGAATCATTAAGTGGCACAATCGGCTTTTCCTCGCAATTTGATTTTAATTATCCTACTTTGTCATTTTGACAGTCGAAAGTTAATTAGCATTGAAATGACATTATTTCATGAGTTTCAAATTACACTCGAATCAATTTAACCGTTCCTATTATGTTCACGTCATATGACTTTAAACCAGCGGAAGTATAGAATGTTTTTATAGTATATATTGCGCTGATTTCATCCATGTATTCAGTCGATTTGTATATCAAATTGAAGCTCTTTCGTTGCCCTAGCAAATGACATATTAATACGTGCGTAAAATTTGTTCCATAACCTAGGTTGTACATAGTTTCTTAGATTTTGTGAAAATGAATTGAATGAGAAGAAACTTAGAATAATCTTGTCTATAAATTACAACGAAGATTCTCCTCAAAAACTGATGGATAATAATAGTTGTTCTCAATTATATCTGCAATGTTCTTCTCTCAATTCTCTCGATCGCACAGCTTGATCAACTACTGTTGGATGGACAAGCAGCGATGTATTCTTCATGAAAAAGAAACTGAACATTGTTTTACCTTTTTTTTTGATTTCTAGAACAACAGCTGTGTAATCACAACAGATAAGCTAGTAGTTATCGAATGAAATGAAAAACAGGATGTGACTGTTTCACTTCAAAGTAAACATATGCGGCAATTCTTCGTTCTTATCTTTTAGTTGATATCCTGTTTTGCTCGTTCTATTCAATGAAATATTTTATATTTGTTAATCGCATCAGAAATCTGATGTAAATTTCATGCTAGTGGTAACGATATTTAGAGGGTGTGGGGTGTGGGGTGTGGGTGTGTGGAGTGTGAGTGTAGATGAGACGAATAATCACATGACACCCACACTCACAACCATCTCCACCATTGATTTGCCATAGATCAACATCATATCCAAACCTTGCTCCTTTATTATTGGCAGCATTAGCATTGCCACCTGATTCTTTGCTAACAATACATCGACAACATGCTTGATTCCATTCAGTAAATTTGGCACATCATGTCGTTGTATCAAGTATGTGTCGTGCTGATCCACACGGACATGATAGACAGTTACCTGATGGACAATTTGAACCACATCTGTTAGCAACAGTGATACTGACAAGCAGCAATAGTACGAAAAACGAACGCATATTGAGAATGAATAAAATGGTTGAATATATTCTGCCAATTTATATATAAAATATTTCTACGTCATTCTGATGCAAGTAGGAAGTATTTTTTTGACGTATCAACAGCGTGGAGTAACTAGATAGTTGTATATTGAAATTAGTCATATGCATTGCATGCATTTACACTTAACCCTTTCGGGACGGGTGGTACATCGTATATACCACAGCCTTTTTTTAAACAGAAACATATTATGTATTGACGATGGGAAGTAGTTGTGTATGCAATAGAATATGCTTATAGTAGTGATGTATATCTAATATGACTTGCGCGATTATAACCTATTATTAATAAACTTGAAGGAAAATACAGAACCATCTGATTCTTGAAATTTACTTTTGTATTTTCTTTCAAAAAAATAATCCCGTCCCGAAAGGGTTAAGGAGTAAATGAGTCAGATGTTTAAGAAAAAGAAGAAAAAGATGGTAAAACTATTTTTTGCTGCACTCACTATTCAGTTACTTTAAAACTTCGAGTAATAAACATGAGTGAAATTGTATCATATTTTACCTACTATTAATAGATCAATCAACCAAACTATATTCAGAAAAATGATCAAAGACAGGCAGAGACGGAAAAAACCAGTGGGAGGGGATGGAGAACACTTATCCTCGGCTAGCAAATTTTCGCTCGCAAGTGCTAAAAAATCACTTTCCCATTAAAGTGTGGATGCGGGGTGTGAGTGTGAGTGTTGATGTGAGTGATCACAAGATTGATATCCATACCCTATCCTCACACCCACACCCATACCCTACATTTGATCGCCAAGAAATATAGGAAAGAAGTCTAGCGCTCGTTATCCTCCGTTGGTAAGAAATGCACTCAATGACCTCTGACCTCGGGTGCTAAGGTCTGTAATGGGGAGGGATGGTCGTTGCTCAAGTGTCTATCATGTCTGTGATGGGCGCCTGTTGCTAGGTGTCTGCAATGGGGTGAGGGGCGGGGGAGCCACAAAACTTCGACTTATAACTTACACTCACTATTTTCCTTGGGAAAATATATGTGAGTTCCACAAAAGTAATAGTCGAATTGATTTTGAATTGCCCACTATTGCCCAGTGCTCAAAATAATTTAGCTGGTAAATGGCCCATAGTTCAAAAATTCCTAGCTATGCCACTGGGATATATAGAAACAAATGAAATGGATAGTTTTGTAGAGCTCTGAATTCTCGTTCGAATCAGTCAAAAGACCAAAGGTTAGTTCAAAAGAAAGTGTGTCAAAAATGCGAGGACATTTTGATCTGTTTATTATAGGCCACTTGTTATCGCTTACAGAACGACAAAAGCAATTTCCATCACCGTTGCATAATAGTTATTTCATCCATTCTTAACAACCTTCTATGTTAACATAAGATAAAAAGGAGAGAGAGATAGAATTGCTTTTCTTTCATTATCTCTTTTGTTGCACTCACTCACTCACTCACTCTTTTGACATCAGTTCTATTTCGTTTATTTAGAAATGAGCGGTGATATCACTGGAGAAATTAATTACTTTAGTCATACGACAGATGGTTCTCCTCCATGGACGGATGCAAATCCTAAATTGGGCTATAACATCACAAATCATGCACTAGCACCAACTCGCGTTACCATTCATGATTTGCGCGGTAGAGAGAATACTGTCGATCTCGACACTAATGGTTTTGAAATACTCAAACATGATGGCCTCATAAATGAAGTATTTAATGACAATAGTGAAATGCAACAATGTTTCTATGAAGAGATTGCTACTGTGCTCAAAAAACGTCTGAATGCTTCTCGTGTAATCATCTTCAACCATATAACTCGTTTTCGTGGACCATACCTTCCGGCCGATCAGTGTGATGGGACTCACAAGAATCCTATCTTTACTCCGCACGTCGATCATGATCCGCCTGCAGCTCGCTTCAAAGTGAAACGAATACTTGGTGAAGAAGAAGCTAACAGAGTGATGCAAAATCGTTTTCAAATTATTAATATTTGGCGACCATTGGGTCCCAATCCTATCGTTAATGCTCCTTTGACCATCTGTGATTATCGTTCGTTAGATCCTCACAACGATGTTCATGCAGGAGTTGTTTACAGATCAGCGAATGATGTTACTATTTCGAATTACTCGATCTCGCGCAACAGTCCAGATGCTCACAAGTGGTACTATTTGAGCCAGATGCGATCAGATGAAATGTTTGTCTTCAAAATATTTGATAGCAAGTCCGACGTTGCTCAATTTGCTCCTCATACAGGTTTCAAGAACGAAAATGTACCTTCAATGAATGTTGAACAAATTAGTATTGAATTGCGTGCTCTTGTCCTTTATGATCTAAACAGTTCATTTTGACTGATCTTAACTAAAATATCGCTGGAATAATTTTTTTGCAATAATATTTTGTAGTTTCTGTGGTAGTTCAAATTTTTATGCATGTGTGATTGAGAAGAAAAGTTTTTCAATGACTTAGATTAAAAAATCTTTAATGATAAAACGAATTTTCTCTTGACAAACTTATGATGATTCAATAATGATCACATGCAATTTCAGATGAATTTGATTGTAGAATCGACGAAATTCAAATATAAGTTTTCAGACTTTTTGCCATGAATATTTATAATTAAAGACCTTTTCATCGTATAGTATGTTCGGCATTAACAAGTGGTTAGTTTACAGTAAAATCAATGATAACTAAAGATGGTATGGAATAGAATATGGTTAGTCTAAGTTATCATTAGAGAATGCAATAGAAAAGGAACTATTTTATTCTTCAACTATTTCCATCTCTCAGCACAACATCTTTTTTTTTCATACATAGAAATAGGTATATGTATATATGTCTAATCTTTTCCGATCAATCTCCCTATTTTTTATCTGTCTTTCTTTAATATATGATTTTTATAATTCAATTTAGCTGATGATACAGCCCTCGCGGAAAGTTCTGGGATACTCGAAAAAAAAACAGTTCTCCAATACTTTATGTTTAAGTTGACATTGGCTTTTAGTATATGTTTAGCATTTTTATTGATCGAGCTTTCATATTATATTGAGGAAAGGAATTATTTAGGAGTGTTAATCTAAATTTACTTTCAATTTAGTTTACGCGTAAATTAAATTACTCGTAATTTAAATTTAAAATAAATTTAACTTATTTGCATTTCATAATTCGTTGAAATTGAAAATTAAATTAAATTATTCTATACTGTGAGATAGTCTCTATAACTTTTCAAACTATACTTGGGGATATCCATATAAGTCTTGAAATCCTATTTTGGTCCTTATTGTCTATCCGAGGGTAACCTTCATAGGTCCTTATAGGCTATTTAAGAGCACCCTTTATAGGTCCTTATGGAATATTTTGAGGCCCGTCATAAGTGCTTATGCTCCATTTGAGGTACCCTTCATAATACTTCAAGCTCTATCCAATGCTTACCCCCGAATAGGCCATAAAGACTTATGCAAGGTACTCCCAAATAGGTCATAAGGACTTATGAAGGGTACCCTTAAATAGCCTATAAAGATCTATGAAGAGTACCCTCGGATAGGCAATAAGGATCAAAATAGGACTTCAAGGATTATTATGGATAGCCCCAGGTATAGCTTGAAAAGTTATAGGGACTATCTTACGGTATAGAATAATTTCATTTAATTTTCAATTTTAATAAATTATGAAATGCAAATAAGTTTAATTTATTTTAAATTTAAATTGGGAAATGACACCTCTAGAATGGACTGACATTGTTACAGTGATGTCACACTTATACAGGGGTTAGCAAAATTATAAGACTTCCTCCTCAAATTCTGAGAACAATAAAAATTTTTTCAACTAGAGAAGATTTCATTTCCGATCTAATGACATATCTATGAACACATAATAGAAATCTATCATGTGTCATATTCATTTGAATTTGATCAATTAGCATTAATGAATAAACTCAAAAACTTCCGAATTTCAGGTAAGGCATAATTATATGACCCCTTCCGTAAATATAAAAATATTGAATAAATGCTAATTTTTTCCAACTCAAATGATGCTTTTTCGCATCCATTCGAAAAAGAAGATACTCAGCTATATGCTGAAACACAAATCGATTTACGACAACTACTTTAAGGCTTCCCCTAAAAAAAAAGTCCCTTTTCACCAAAATTGACGAAATTGAGATAAATGCATGAGAAGATAGCCCGTCTTCTGCTCTTTCAGAAATGATATTGTTTTTTCTTCGACACCTCGTTTTTGGCCAAAATTTTCGGTGGTTTTCGTTAACCTCTTCTTGAAAATTATGCTTATTTTGAAAAAACGAAAAATGTTTTTCGTTTTTTCTCGGTTTATGAGTTTTTGATTTTGCTTCCAAGATTTCTCGGCCCAGTGTCTTTCAATATATATCATTAATGTAACTAGACACCCATTTTTGGCACATTTTTTGAGTCATTGAACTTGTGACTCCCTGTCTCCGCTAAAAAAGTAAGAATTTAAAAAAAAGGCTCTGTGGTGCCCCGCATCTTGACATGCTCTTTCTAACAAAAAAAATTAAACATATTGCATGAGACTGGACCGAGAAATCTTGGAAGCAAAATCAAAAACTCATAAACCGAGAAAAAACGAAAAACATTTTTCGTTTTTTCAAAATAAGCATAATTTTCAAGAAGAGGTTAACGAAAATCACCGAAAATTTTGGCCAAAAACGAGGTGTCGAAGAAAAAACAATATCATTTCTGAAAGANGAACGATAAGACAGAATAAAAGACCCAGAGTCTTCTAATGTGTCGGGGATTTTAGGAGCTTTTATAATATAAACTATTGTCATATTTTATTCAAAAGAAAATTTTCTATTTGCAAAAACTATGTTTCATGAAAAACGTTGGAATTAGAGAACAAAGACTGCAAAGAATGTTTCTGTACGGTTTGCCTGCCGTGAATATCTGTGAAGAGTCAAAGTCAGTTGCGTGTTCATTTCATGGAAATTTTTCAGTGTAATAGGACACTCCAAAAAAGATGGATGTGTCAAGATGTTGCAAAAATGCATGATCTTTTATTGTAGAGAAAAAGGGTGCAATAGAAGAAGAATATGCGCAGGGTGTCCGAAAAGTCATTGATCAAAAAGAAAATTTTATATCTCCATTATGGTTCCCTCAAATAAACTGGCTTTTGTACTGGTGATAGAGGATACTTCCAAGTTTTTATTCATAAATATAAAGTTCCTAAATACTCTTACAAAGAAGCACTTCCAGATTCAATACACATAAAGACCTTTTTCGAGTACCAAAAAACAATCTGTAGAGTTTTTCTTGAATTTCTTTAATGTTGTTTCACTGATGAGAACTTCCAATCAATTAGGTTTCTTTTTCTTGCTTTATAAGCTTCTGTTTCATATTCTTAACAAACCAGACACATTAATCTCAGATATAGTGCCCGTCACAATTCTAAAACTGTGTCAGTTCGCTCACTTCAGCTTTCATCGAAGATTTTAAAGAGAAAGCAACAAATTATTTTGTAAAAAATATATTAGTCACTCCAGGTTCTTCAGCAATATTAAAATAAATCTTTATACGGCAAGAGAAAGAAACCTGGTTGATTGGAAGGTTTCACTAGTGAAACAACATTCACGAAATCTAAGAAAAACTCTACAGATTGATTCTTGAAACTTGAAAAAGATCTTTATTATGTATTGAATCGTCGAGTGCTACTTTGTAGAAGTATTTAGGAACTTTATATTTATGAATAAAAACTTAGAAGTGTCCTCTATCACCAGTACAAAAACCAGTTTATTTCAGGGAACCATAATGGAGATATAAAATTTTCCTTTTGGTCAATGGTTTTTCAGACACCCTGTATATATTAATTTATATATTTTCATTCTTTCATTTAGTATCTGAAGAGACTTTAGTGCAGTTGAAACCCTTCGTTGTAGTTAAATTAAGATTTCTTCGATTTATTTCAGTAGGATATTATAAAAATCAAATTATACATTCTCCTACAGTCTCTATATTTATATGTGGCACCGGAAAAACGTTTGACGTCAGGCAGTCAGAGTAAGACTGTTTGCTATTTGTAAATAGGCTTCCCAGATTTTGAGTACTTTCTCTTGTTGTTCCAACATTTGTTTTATGTACGCATTAATATTAATCTTAAATTCTTCCATTCGATTTTCCTCGAATACTTCGAATTCTTGCTTGAGTGTCATCGAAATTCGTTCGAAATTCTCCATGTCATTTACAACCTTTTCTTGCAAATTCTGCGCTTCTATTTCAGCATGAGGCCCCTGGAAGAGAAGAATAAGATGTATTCATTAATTTGTTTTAAAGTTTATCAAATAGTCTTTCTGATGAATGGAGATTATCATGATAAGTTATTGAACCATCGATGTGTGGTCTTTTTCTTAAAGATTAAAAGACTTCTTGTATTATTTGGCATATATTTTTTCTACTTCAAGTCAAAGTTTGTATTCTATCTCTCTTGACAAAATAAATAAGAAACGAAATTCTGCACATCCTAAATTTTAATTGTTTACACATAAATACGTCGTCGATCACACTGAATAGATGTATCATTTATTAGTCCATTATAGATTCCGAAATCCCGTTCGAAAAGATTGAATGCGTACAAAGCACTCCAGTTGTCGATAAATCCATAAGCATAAACTCTAGAAATGTTCCTTACCTTTTCAAGGAGCTTCTTTTGCAGCGTTTCGGTATTAAGTGACCAGCATTTATGAAGTTTTGCCCGTTCATTGAAAGCACACTTCGCCATATCGAGATGTAAGAGGTACTCATTCAGTAGCTCATTCATTAATGAAAACTCTTGCCTAGTGAGATCCGAATTGATCTGGTCAAGTTTCTCTTGAACATTGGCCAGCTCGATGAGAGTTGAACAAAGAAGTGAATGATCTTCACACGTGGCTAAAATATTCAGTTGTATAGCAAGCTCGTCAACTGTTACACTTAATTCTTTTCGCATCTTGTATAAATGGTCGAAGTGGAACTTTAACGTTCTCAGATCAGCTTGCAGATCAATAATGTACTTCTGAAGAGACAAAAACACTGTTAGTCATAACGAGAAAATACTTCATTTATGAGATGAATTTTATTCAAATTCATATATTGAAGAATTTATTCTTATGATTTTTATCTTCCATCCGACATATTGCTGAGGGATGACATACGAAGTGGTGAGAACAGCATAATAAATGAAAAGTGTCAACTGTGCAAAATGCTTCGACCATACTCTTGATTATTAAAAAATGTTTATGAACGCAGCCCCTTTAGGTCTGAAATGTGGTACTCACATAAATTACTTAGCCTCATTAGACTCATACAAAATATGTAAAAACTCTCGTCGACTATAGTTGTTTTATTTCTGCATTTCAAACTGAATTTTTATTTTATTTTATTTTTTTTGGGAGTTGCTATGGTCTGTAATAAAGAAGGGGTGGGGAGCCGGAAAATTTCTACTTAAAACTTACACTCACTATTTTCTTCGAAAATATACGTGAGTTCCACAAAATGTTTGTCATTCAACAATAAACAAACTTTATTCCCAGTTACGCAGAAAATAGGAAAAACTCATTCCATTTCTCCTTTAACCCATTCTTCCTTTTTTGTATATGCGATTGTCCAATTGCTAGAAATTTTTCATGTTTCATACTTAAACGTGATGTGAAAAAAGCCAAAATCAAAATTCGATCTGTAGTTGAGGTTTGCTTCAAATAACTTCCATCGTTTTCAAAATTACTCTGCTCACCTGTTTTTCATCGAACCAGTCGCTTTTTTGTGTTTTTATTATCGATGTAGACAAGAGATCTCGCCATAGATTATTTGTCATCTTCGGCAGTTTTTCAGGTAGTTCGATGAACATCAAAAAATCGGGATCACAAACGAGTGTCTCATTTCGAGCGAGACGATTCAAGTAACGTTCAATCTGAGCTCGTTGTCGTTCAATGATATCTTTCGGAACGATGCTTGAGTTATTTTCGGGTAAGGCCGGAATGATTAAGCCTTCAGGAAGATATTTGACGATGAGCTTGCCATGTACTCCAAGAAAATCGCTAAAACGGCGATTTACCCCAAATTGGGCTGCTTTGAATATGGGAAGTGAACTTCTCGTCATTATTCGATAAACAGTAGATGATGGCAAATTCTGTAAGAAAGAAAAATCAAGATTCTAAATCAATACTATGATTCAAAAGGTTTTTGTGGAAGATGACTGTTTTGGAGAGAGACGAGAAGGTACTTATTTTTTGTTTCCAATCTGTCTAACGTCAGCATCTAACAGGTGAGTTACCTTAATAGTTTGCTTTAAATGAAAAACTGTAATCTCGATGTTGGCTATTTTGCATTTAGAAGCAAGGGCCACTTGTGTTTTTGTTGCTGTTATTTGCATTGGTAGAATTGGTCTGAAACAATATGGGCAAACAAGAGAAAAATTTTATTGGAATGATGTCAAAAGATTGAGAAGCTTTCAAACTTCATGATAAATACAACAGTCGCACTATGAAGGTACGATAGAATAGGTAACATATTTCTACACGTTTTCCGTCTGTATCGAATTATTTCCTTATTGAGAATGCTAGACTAAAGCTCACACGTCCTTGAAGCAAAGCACATCACACAAATTTGAGCTCTTGTATTATGTAGAATAATGTCTAAAAAAAAACTGTTTTTACCGGACTTCGTTGACGACTCGTGGCTGTTCTTGATAAGCACATACTTGCTATAGAAAAAAATTCTGTTACATTTGTGAAAAGTGTTTGCAAAAGCAGCTTACTGTATGCGCGATGTATTTATCAAAGTTCACAAGTTCATAGCAATATTCACAAGGTATTTTGTCTTCATGGGCTTTGAAATAAACTGATGATAATCGTTCTGTGTTGTTCAGAATAAAAGAAAATTTCGTTAGAGAGCATCCAAAAGGCTTTGTTATTGGTTGTTAAGATCATCGTCTAACGTCTTTCTTCTTTTTCCTCTCAAACGAAGCAAATAACCGGGTCAATTAGCAATGCACATAGTCGAAATACAAAACGTTTCCTTCCTAAAGAAGATCACTTCATGTTCCCTAGAGTGAGTATAGTTGCCTCCTGATCATGTCTTTTATTCTGCAGACTTTCGACAATGGCTTGGAAATATGCTAGACTTCCACTATGTATCGCTAAGTACGATGCATACTGCATATTTTCGTTTAGTGTTTGAGCTTGTCTCACTTACCTTTAGGCGAAAGAGTAGGTATCGGTCGAACTTGAGGTATCTTTCCGACCTCTAAAACGGGTTTGGATGCTCTAAACAAGATGCTTTGTAAAGTAAATATACGTACAACAAAATGATAATGGTCTTACGTCGAATCTGATTCATGAGCTAAACGGATTATTTTACGTCTTAGTTCTTTGAATGTTGGCCGTTCAGATGATTCTATTCTCCAGCAATTGACGATAGCCGACCAAAGGTCTTCGTCACAAATCGCCGGTCGAGGTAACTTTTCGCCACGTAATTTGCAGCGACGGACATCCCTATCATCAGCCAATGAGGCAAAAGGAAGTGTTCCATAGGAACAGGCTTCCCACATTAACACAGCCATGGAATATACATCCGATTTTTCTGAATAAAGCATTCTATCGTTGCTTGTTCGAAGTATTTCTGGTGCCGCGAACCTGACAGGAATAGTCGTCATTGCTGTTTGTGACGAACTATCAGCTACAGAAAAAATATCGCTGCCTTTAGTGAGACCAAAACCAGTCAATTTGACGAGGTTGTCTTCTGGAATAATTGGGTTATACCGGAAAACGAGAACATTTTGACAGGTCAAATCTCCGTGAACTATTTTGTTATCAGCAAGGCAAATCATCGCATCAATAATTTGAGCAAATATTTCGACGAGAACGTTTCTAGTTGGTTTGAAATTGTTTTCTCGTAACAATTCGGCAAGATTGCCCTTTTCTGCACATTCTTGCACGAGCATGACATAATTTATGTCATTTTCAACAAGACCAAATGTGCGAACAATATGTGGATGACAACTCAGTTGAACATAAAAGAAAGCTTCACGATTGGCCTTCGCACCATCGATTTTAATTAGAACAATTGGTGGGCCTTGTCTACCGACCCATTCGGCTTTGTAGATTGCTTTAGTGAATGTTTGAAACCAGGGTCGTGTTTCTGTTCTGCGAACATCAACGTTGAGATGAAATTGATAGTCTTTCTTCTTGGAAACTGCTGCGAATTCGTCGATTATCTTGCGCACAATGTGATTTGGACGTAGTGACTTGATATTCATGGGCTCCCGAGTAATCGGGCTTGTTCCATGCTGTTGTAACCAAGCAATGATATCTTTTCGCTCATATGTGTGGCCATCTTGTCCAATGACGGGATCACGAAAAATATCGCATGTAAGAGGACAGTTAAGAGAATCCATATGGCGCACGTCTTTTGTAAAAGTAAAGTCGTTGTTGTTTTAGATAATATCATGTGAAGAAGTCTGTTAACGTCACAGATAAGAACACTATTCTGACTCTCGCAGCTATTGACTCACCAAGAGATAAATTTTGCTTCTAACAGAACAAACAAAAAAGTACGCAGATACAATATGTCTGAAAAGTCGCTTTTCATAAAAAAATTCGTATAAATTCACTATGTTTACCTACGTACAAATATATGGCTTCTTCACGTGTCGTATGTCACTGTAAACGAGGATGTGGACGTGGCCAGTTGTGCATGGCTGTATATATGGTATAGACGAACACTTACACCCCACCGACACCCACACTCACACCCTCCTCATTAAATTATATAGGAAGAGACACATAATTGATGCATATGTCTTTGAACTTCATTGAATCAAATAGATACTCATCGATTTGACAATAAAATAGCAAGCAATGTGCATATGAATATAGATTTCTAATGGACATAAATCTCACTTGACATGTTGACCTTTTGGCCTAAATGATTATTTGGTTGAAACTTGATCTATTAATGGTGATTAGAGATAATATATTATTCAATGTAAACATAAATCAGACATGTCTACTGTTATAGTTAGATTTTTCGATAGGGATGTGGCTATTATCGTCAGTAAAAGGCTGTTCAGATCGTTTACATTTCATACAATACGACCGACAGCTTAAATTACGTACATATTTAACTCAATCAAGGATCATTAAACGATAAAAAAACAATGGCAAGATCAGTTTCTCTTATTATTATGGAAAACAAAGCAATCATAAAGCTATGTCAATTTTTCTCTCCCTGTGAATGCAATATTACTTAGGGATATCCAAAAGTAGTGTCGGAGGTACCTTACTTTCTTATAGAAGGCTTGAGGAAGTTTTCTTTTTTTATAGGATGATAGAGAAAACGACGCTCTATTTTGTGGAACTCACATATATTTTCGAAGAAAATAGTGAGTGTAAGTTTTAAGTTCGAGTTTTTGCGGCTCCCTACCCCTTACAGACAGGCCCCCATTACAGACCATAGCAACGGACCCCTCACCCATTACAGACACCCCCCTCATTACAGGCCCCCCCCTCCCCCATTACAGACCATAGCAACTCCAGAAAAAAAGTAAAAATTTTATTCGAAGTATAGA